CTCGGCGTCGCGCGGCGGCCGAACGGGTTTCGCCGGCGGCGCGGCCGCGGCCCGCGCCGCGCGCCGCGCGCGCCGCGCGAGGAAGCGCGCCCTGGCCGCGCGGCCCTTGGCGTCGTCCATGCCCTCGGCGGGCTTCCGGAAGAGCTCCATGGCCGCGCGCCAGTCCGGCCGCGCCGCGAGCGGACCCGGCGGGAAGTCGCGCGTCGCCCGTTCGTGCCAGGCGCTGCCCAGCGCGTCGCGGCCGTCGACGCGCCAGCGCTCGCAGCGCTTGAGCCAGAGCGTCGCCGTCGCGCCGTCGTCGGCACACTCGTCGCCGCGCATGGCGTGGGCCAGGGCGCAGCAGAGCGCCGCCTCGGCGTCGAGGGGGCTCGCGTCCAGCGCCTCGTCCAGGCACTCGAGGGCCTCGTCGTAGTCCTCGGCGGCCATGGCCATGACGTAGTTCGACATCTGCGTCTCGTACTCCGCCTCGGCGTCGTCGTAGCCCAGGGCTGCCTCGTCCTCGAAGGTCGCCATATCGGATGCCGGTTGGGCAGCTTGAACATTCGATATCCCTTCAATGCCGGCCTGAGCTCTGGAGAGGCTCTCGCAATGGGTTATCCCCCCAGCGAGCACAGCGAGTGCTAGAGCGATCGCAGGGAATCGCCGCAGCAGCAGTTGTCGCATTGCCGCATAAGCCATGCGCCGCTGGGCGCGCGCGCTGCTCCTCGCCGTCACCATCGCGGCGGCGAAGAAGAAGAAGCGCAGCAGGAAGCCGCCGGCGACGGAGAAGGTGAAGCTGACGCCCGGCGACTACTGCCTCGCCTGCCTCGCCTTCGTCGAGGACTACCACAAGTCCATCTCCGACATCTACCAACGCAACGCGGCGACGGCGCGCGAGTCGAGCGTCGGGCCCGAGGAGATCTCGGGCGAGATCGAGCGCCGCTTCGAGGAGTACTCGGAGACCGTCCAGGGCGCGGGCCGGTACCTCCGCCAGGAGGCGCTCCACCGCGTCCTGAGCTCCGTGCACACGGAGTACGACGGCCAGGGGGAGGCGGACGAGCGGCGGGAGGTGATGCAACGGAAGCGGCGGCTCTGCGTCGACGACCTCGGCGCGTGCGTGCCCGCCGCCGTCGAGGCCGAGGACGCGGCGCGCGGCGGCGCCTGCGACGTGTGCGCAGCCGTCGCCGTCGACTTCGACTTCGTCGCGCGGCGCGGCGGGCTGCACGAGGCGCCGCGGGACCGGGGCTGGCTCGTCGGCGAGCTCGAGGGAGCCTGCGCGGACGCGGCCTACCGCCACGGCCGGCCCGCGGCCGTCGAGGCCGCCTGCGAGGCCATGCTCGACGACCACGAGGACGCCGTGGTCGGCGCCGTGGAGGACCACTTCCGCTTCCTCCGCATCGGCAACGCGCCGAGCGCGACGCTCGAGAGGCGACTCTGCGCGGGCGCCGTCGGCGCGTGCGGGGACGCGGAGCTGTGAGTTAGTTTTCGTAGCGAGGATTTGGTCCTACTGGGCCGGGCCGCGCCACGCCTCTTCCTTGTGGACGACCTCGAGATGCGTAATTGAGGTCGTGGTTGCAAATCTCCAGGGTCGATAGAGATGCGGCGGCGGGCCTCGAGGCCAGCTCCTTTAAGCGACATGGAGAGGAGGTTTGCTCTCGAACGGGAAGGGAGGACGGGGTCTCGAGAACGGCAGCGTCGCAGATCGGTACGTCGGAGCCGCGTCCGTTCGGCGGCGGGCTGGCACCGTGACCGCCGACGCCGGACGTCGTGCCGCGCGCGTGAGTCGTCGCTCTCGTCCCAGAAGGCGTCGAGGGCGCGTTTTCG